TTGACTTCCACAGTGTGGCCAGTGTGTGATGGTTGTATGAAACAGTTGTACATGACTGCTCTAATTAAATGTGCCACTGTCTCCTCACTTCTTCACTGAAAGGTCTGTCAAAACATCAGAGTGCAGTCTCTGTACTTAAAATGGCTCTTCCATTTTTATCCCTCTATTTTTACCACCATCCATCTCACACCTCGAGATGCTGCTGGTGACAGTCGGCCTCCTTTGACTACTTTATCAGATCACAGTTACATTTTTAGAAGCAACATTTGTGCTTTATTCTCTTCAAATTTTTCTTTCCTGTTTTTTGCTTTAGACTTTCAGGACAGGCTCAGAGCATGACAGGGTGGAGGGGTGGGGAAGGGGAGATAATGGAAGGGACCACCATGAATTTCCTCTTATGGAATGTGTAGAGAGTTGGTGACAGAAGTGCTTTGACTGGCTGACAGACTTTAAAAGAGCTGAAGGTCACATGGCTCAGCTTTGTGCCTCGTAGGGTTAAATGAGGGATACGCAAGAACCTTAGAGTCACACACAAACACATCCCCATGTCGCCACTGTGCACAAAATGTTGTTCTTCTTTTCTATTGTGATCTGAGTCTAAACTTTAGAATGAGCTTCATAGATAGTTTTGACCTGTCATCCATTTCATTCATCTTTTCTCTCAACAGAGACATTCTTACTTTTTCTTTTAATTTCACACTGACTGGATCCAGCAGGAATTTGGATAAGCCATCTATTCAGTTTTTACCACCATGTCATTTTTCATCATAGTGATGGACACTGCAGCAGGAAACATCAAAGAAAGTCATCTTTATGGATTCATTTCATTCTCATCACAGGACATGTCACATCAGATGGACTGAGGCATATATTACATACTTGATGAGATCAAACCATGTGCTGGTCTTTGCAGCGGTACTTTTGGCCTCCCTGTTTAGAAAGTACATAAAATATCCTTCCGGTAGCTTGTGTGTTGAGGTGTGAACAGATGTGGAGGACGTGTCCATCAACACTCCTCTTCGGCGTCTTGTAGGACGTCTTACCAGACGTTACAGTTAGTCTGCTCTGTAACCGTCAAGTTGAGTTTTCCTAATTGTCACTGCAGTGAAAGGCCTCCCAGTCACACAGCAAAGAAATCTGACAGATGGTTCATTAGTAACTGGTGGGAGGTGGAGAACTTGTAGGTAACAGATCTCAGCTGGACACAGGAGGCAGGTAATGTTCTCAGGGGATGAAAGGAAGTGGTGGGAGAGAGATAAGATGAAAGAGGAGCAACTTGGAGAGAGGGATGAGGTGACACGCAGAGTTCGTCCACTTTACTGATGTACTGACCTGCATGTGCTTGTGTTACTGCATTTGAAGTGTAATTCCAGTTTATTTCAAACCTGGTGTATTTCCCATTATTTTGCTTATTGTGTGTCTATGGATCATGCAAACTCGCGTTTGATGTAGAGATGTAGAGAAACAAGGCATCACATAGAAGCAATGAATATTGCAGCAACCATTGCAAGGTCCCTGCAGCTCTGCAAAAACCATTACAAGAACTGTCATTGTGTGATGGCCGTATTTATTGGAACCATATAGATGAGGGGCAAAATCAAATGCAAGATGTAACTCAGGCTCTGAGAACGAAGGCAGAAGCAGAAAGACAACAGGACAACCTGAAAGAGTACCTTTGGAAACTGGTGGTATTTCTGGTCTCACTGCTGTGCTGCTGGGAAAACTACTGCTGCAAAGAGTAGCAATGATTAACCTCAAACGGTCTTCAGTTTTTTTAAACATTGTTGTGGAGATTGTGTTTCACTTCTCCAAAACCAACGAGAAGAAAAGACCAAGACCAGCCAGCTTGTCATCCCCCCTTTGTGTGATTTATTGTTGACTTGTGTCTACATTAGTGTGTCATTAATGTGGTCGATTGGCATAAATATTCTGTTCCTTCCCACTGTCGCTGATTGCTTGCTCCAAAGCAAAGCAAAGGAAACTTTGGATTTATTGGGTTTCTGTGTTTAAAATGTGTACGGTCTTACCTTACTATGTGAAGTCCTATGAGATGGCATATGTTGTAAATAGAAATAAAACTGAATTGAATTGAACAAATTCCATAAACCACAGAGACCGTGATGGTAATAATTGGCTGTCTCATACCAATGTTACAATGAGTGTAAAAGTCCAAAGCACATTTCCCACTAACCAGTTATGTTCAATCCAACCTCTCTTTTGTTTGAGTTTTTAGTGGTGTATAACAATACTGCTTTTGAAACTACTACATCAGCTAGAATGTTAAATCTTTACTGAACTTGTATTTCTGTCCTTTTTCTTGCAATGGCAGATTCTAAAGATCCTGGTCAGGGCAGTTGTTGAAAACTTGACGGACAGCGAGGGGCAGCAGGCAGGAGCCCTCCAGTCCAAACTGAAGGAGCTCTTTGGTCGGATCAGTTCCCGCCACAGCAGTGACGCAGAGATATGGCGACAGTACGCACTGCTGTACGGTGGAGGCCACAGCTCCAACCCAGAGGACAACGAAAAGGTGCCCAACACTCACACGACATGTTTTTAACCCAAACATGCATCAACCAGCACTATGGGCATGATGTACATAATAGTTCATTTGCGTGTCATGAGGTCAGTAAGAATGGATCAGCAGAGTGGAGGAACTGGGAAACAGAGAGTTGGGGTTCACTTATTACTTTACAACACGACAAGACAGTCCGCAGATATACACACATTTATATGCTATTACAATGTAAATAGAGCTACAACTGTTTTCTTTGCTGATTAATCTGTGAAATGTTTTCTAGATAATTCAATTAGTCGCTTGTTCTATAAAATGACCATAAAACTACTCAGAAATTGGAGAAAATGTTGATCTGTGTATTTCAAAGCCAGAGATGGCAAATGTCTTGTTTTGTCATCCATCCAAAGATATTTAGTTTGCTGTCACAGAGGAGTGAATAAAGAAGTTTAAGAAGTCGGACTCAGAATTTACATGACTGTTTTTATTTATAATTTCTCATACCGTTTAATCAGTTATCAAAATAGTTGGAGATTTAAATTTAATAGTTCCATAATTAATTAACTGATTAATTGTTGCAGTGAAATGTCATGAAATGTGAGCTAAAGCAGCTTTATTTGACCTACTGTGTAGTGATCTCAGGTTGTTAGAAGAAAACATCTGCTTCACTTTACCAGACTTTGGGAGGTCTATATTATTGTAAAAAATTCCTAAATTACAAAAAATATATTTTGCTTGATATAAATGCCAAGGAAAGTAGCAGCATCAGTAAAACTACACTTGAGAGTTGGTATTTTCCTACAACATAGTCCACATAGCTGCCCACCCTCAGCTATATGTCTGTAAGATGTCGGTGGGTCCCCAACAGGTGCAAACGGAATAGTTTTGAACTTTATCTGAACTGAATCTTTACGATTTTACAGAATTTGGCAAAACCGTTTGATAAAAATGTTTTTGGAAAAATCTAATACGATGACCTCACAAGTAGCTCTGTAACTGTAGAGCACACTCATGTTGTGTCACCAGGCTGCTTGAATCATGTCATCAGCTGAACCAGACAGCCACAAAACCACAGAGTACAAAGACAAGGGCAGTTCAATAAAAAATCAAGAACAAAAGCCAGGACTGCATTTAACTTAAGCACATGTCAGCTAATAGAACATTTTTTTCCAGGCACTGCAGTTCCTGTCCAAGGCCCATCGCTGTGACGTTCAGACCGGCGGCTGGGAGAAAGAACCTGCTCTCTTCAAGGAGGTGATCAAAAGAGGCATCCATATGGGAGAAGGTGAGAACGGCACCCAGCTGTGTACACACCGTCATCCACACAGTGTACGTTTCTCAGAAGGGTAGCGGAGGTCAAAGGATGGAGAGATGATAAAAGAGATGCGTCTCTGATTCCAGTTTAGTTGTTAATCTCCACAATCCCCAGATGTTTTCATTACAGCAACACACACAGCTGAATGAAACATGGGAGAGGCAGTCAGGAGCCAGATGAAAAGACTAGTAATACTGCCTGCTGGAGATGTGTTTGCTCCGTCTGTCAGCTGGCATGTACAACCGTCCAGCCTTCTGCTCTCAGGCCTTGTATATGAAACGCTCATTTTCGTTGAGCTCACGTACTTGGTGCACAGATACACACACAAACCATTTTTCACGCATAATATTTTTGTATGCAACCCTACAAGGTTTCTCATATTAATGCTGTTGTAAGGTGTCTTGCTATCTTTAGGGACTGCAAGCGGGAAAATGCAGCATCTGCAAAGATACAAAGATATCTGCAAGGAAACTTGTTCATCCAGCTTTCTTGAGAATTGAAACTAGTACTACATTTGTATTATTTATAAGTAGGAACTATGTACAGAGGGATCCAAAAGTCTGAGACCACATGGAGAATCTGTCAGATTTTAACGTAACCATAGAAATATTTGGAAAATTTGATTTTGAAAATATTTAAAAATACAAGATATTCTGACATGTAATAAGGAAGAAATAATAAGAAATATTTCAGATCCTGCTCTGTTTCTTGGTCAGCAGTCTCTGATCAGAATAGTGGCAGTGGCTGTGTTGGTTACTGTAACAGAAGGTTTGTGTGTAATCAAACCCACAGTGAAACACGCTGCTGGAATGAAGTCTGAGGGGGTTTTTGTTCTGGACATACTATTAGCATTTATGTAAAAAATTATATAATAAGCCAATCTACAATGTGAAAAGGGGTTCAAAGATGCACTAAGGTAGCTTAGTCACACTGAATGCATTTATTCTGTTAGAATCAGGAAGTACTTTCTGCTAATCTGCTAAACTAACTAATATGACAAGTTAAGGTTGTTTGTCTCCATGATAACTCTGTTGAGCTGCTGCCTCATTTATTCACTGATGGCAAATTCTTTGCGAAGCTTTTGGGTCACCAGAATGGATGTTTTTTGAGTGCAGATAAACAGCTCAGTCTAGTTTTAGGAACAACAACCCTGAGCCATTCTCTCAACTGTTTTCACATTAAATGGGAGACTGGAAGTTTGAAAAGTTCAGTGGAGTTAGAAACAAGTGACCTCAGGTGTCTGAAGCTCACTTCTCATCTCTGCTGCATCTCAGCCACCTCGAACATGAATTACTCACCGAACTGTCCGAGTTTTATGTTGCATTCTGGGTGGAAATGTGTGGACAAAAACCCAGACAACACTGCTGACAGACAATACCAGTTTTTTAACAGTACATTTTGATGCAGATGGCCTCAAATTAGGTTCAGTAATACTTAAAACTTGTATTGTGTTGTTCACAAATGAATGAGCTTTAAATCATTCTTTGTGAACCTGTAAAATAAATGTTTATAAGAAATTAATATTAAAAGAAGTAGAAGTGATTTTTATTTGTAAAAATGTGTTGAAAAAGAAGTGCCTTTTTAAACATGTACAGAAACAAAGCAGAACGTTCCCAGTGTTCCCACAGTGTGTCCCACACCATGTGTGACACTGAAATTACCAGAAGAATTGTGACCCTGTCTTTACACATGAATCTGACTGGATTGTCACTTCACAAGGCCAAGTCAAACTGTCCAATCAAAAGGCAAATGGTTCAGCTTCATCTCCACTGCAGGCCCCTAAAGCTGTCGTAGATTTTCAAGATATACAACAACACAGGCTCTGTTAGCAGTTACTATGTAAAGTTACACTGAAATATGAGACACAACAAGAGAAGCTCTTCTGTCTAGAAGATCGATGTTTGCAGCATTCCTGCGTTCATTCAAAAAATATGCATTTGGACATCTGTTTTACCTTAGAATACCAGCAAAGTAGCTGTACGGTGCATATGCACATTAAAAGTCTACGATTATTTTTCTACAGCATCATCAAATGTATTTAACGATCTGAGCCAGAAGCAGTTTTCTGCCACTTCTTGCTCCTGTTACATGTTTACTGACTGTGGGTTCATCCATAGAAATTCTGCACCTCTATGGATACAGTGTGACTGTGGCTGGCAGTAGAGGGAACTTGAAAATGTCTTCTGTGCTGCCTGAAACAATTATAATGACATAAATTATTTACCAAAAAAAAAAAATTTGTTTCTTTGATTATTTTTATTACAATAAATGACAAAACCTGGTGTTACCAACATTGGGAAAATAGCAGCTTCACATACTTTAGGTTTTTAATTATTTACATTTTTGCAACATTTACAAACAAGATGTTTTCACACTACTCTGCACATCAATGCCAGGAAGATGTTTCACCATTTTTTTGCTGAATGTATCTTCCAACAACTTGTGTACCGTTTTGGAGCCATGCTGTATTTAGTTATTGATTGACTATGTTTTATTGTCCTCTCAGTCTCTAATTTGTTTCCAATACATGTCTGTTATGTGCTCTGTGAAAACACAGCTCAGCTTAATATTCACAGATTTGTTTTTGTCAGGTGACTCTTGGTCGCAGTTGAGTCAGTCATGGCTTCTCACTTGCAGTGAGGAGTGCAGGAATGTGCCAGAATCTGCTGCCAAAGGTTTAGTTTTGGAAAACATCTGAATGAGACCACCACCCAGATGAAAGGGTTAAATGACTCTGAGATCAAAAGGAAAAAGAATCTCTGGTCTGACATGAGAAAAGAGAAGCTTTATGGGCAGAACTCTAAGCACTATGTGTCTTGAACACTAGGCACTGCTCATCACCTGCTACTACCATTTGTATGGTGAAGCATGGGGGTGGCAGCATCATGCTTCATGTTTCCTGGGACAAGCAGATTGGTACGAGCTGAGAGAAGGATGAATGCAACCAAATACAAAACTGCTCCAGTGTGCAGAGACCTTTGACTAGGATGACAGTTCACCTTTCAGCGCAGCATTGACTCAAAGCAAACAGCCAACACTGGAGTGTCTAGTATCCCAGACATAAACATTATATTAAATCTGTGGAGAAACCTTCAGATGGCAGATCATTCAGTCTGACAGAGCCTGATAGGGTCTGTCAGGAAGGATGGGATAAACTGATAAAGCTGCACGGCAAATGCAAGTGTACAAAGCCCGAAGAGATACAACAAGACTGGAAGCTGTAACTGCTGCAAAAGTAGCTTCTGCAAAGTACTGAAATAAGGGTGCAAAAAATAATCCCCCCAAATGTTGTCACTCTACATTGTAGCCTACTGAATGTAGATTGATGAGATTTTTTCACTTTAAGATTAAATTTCCATCACAAATTAGTGTGAAAGTGAATGGGTCTGGCTACTTTCTGAAGCAATTATATGTACTTTGTGTACCTGTACACAGTTGTGTTAACTACACATATTCCTTCAATTGTATGGCTGCTATATGGCTTTATTATTCTTTGACTTAAAGAATAAGTCTTGTGTATCTGTGATAGGATATTTTGAATGCAACATGCACTTCTTTTTCCTCACCTGCTCTCCTCCATTGGCTGTATGCAGAGTGTGATACAGTGAGAAGCTCAAGAGAAGCCACTAACCATAAATTCAAAACATTATGTCGTACACATGTTTGCAAAAGGTTCCTTCACGTCCTGACACTGTTGAAAGCTCAGCAACAGGTTCAGTCTCAGTATACAGTGTTGAAATAACACAAACACACTATAGTGGCGTTTGAGCACAAAGATGAGTGTGTCAGTGTCTCTATCTCCACCCTGGACTACACATTCCACTGACCTTAGCTCGGGTGTGGAGGCTGCACCCACACAAATGACGAAGCTCCAAAAGAAAGCAAAGAACAGACGAAGCAGAGCAGGAGGGAGCAGCCTTTATAAATCACCACAGGTTGACCTTTACAGTTACAGCTGGGACAGAGACGAGCGGTGCTGCCAGGCAGGACACAGGAAACAGACACTTTTCCTTCCATGTGTGGGAGAGGTCGAGTTTGGTGACCTGTAAAAGAGTGTGATGGAGGAGGGTAACACGGGAGCCACATGACCTATCAGTGCTCGAGCTGCTGCCACGTGAAGTTATTTAAGTTTGGAGATGAGCAGATTAGTTTTTGAATCAGTTTGTTGTACAGAAACTTAATCTGTAACTATTTATGAGTCTTTCATTTTTCCAGCACAACAACATTTTGCCTACAATACAGATTAGCTACAGTAGGCTTCTTTCATCAGTGGCATATGTGGTTTCAGAACATCCTCTCATGGTTAAAGGTCTTTTGTTTTTTTGACTTTACCCCTTAATATCTCTGCCCACTATTTGTCAGGATCCCCAGGCTTGATCATTGGGGTTCTACCAGCTGTTCTCTAAGAACTTTCTCTCAAGTAAACGTGACAACATCCCCATGGACACATTCTCTGGAGCAAATCCAATTAGTCCATTCAAAATATTACTTTTCAAGTGCAGAAGTTTTCTTTATCCACCCTCTAATTTTTTCTGTCTCTGCCTGTCAGTGACAGTCAGTTGCAGTGAGAAGAAGAGTAATCCATCAGAAGCTCTTCAGATGCTCTCCACCACCCGCCTCAGCCTAAGGAGTCTGGCCACCAAAGCCAAGGTACAGTCCTCAGTAACACACAGACCCAGGAGCTCAACAATAATGTGGAAACCTCATACCAGTGTGGTCACAATACTGGAATTTCTAACCTCAGTACAGTATGGAGCTGTTTCATAATCCTGCTGGTGCTCCTGCAAACCTTCCTGCTCGCACAATATACCGTTCCATGTATTTTATGTCCTCTGTCATGCTGCACGGAAAACACATTATTTAACTGTGTAGTAAGAATAAAGAAATTCATATCAGTCAGTATCCAAAGTACAACTACATTCATAGAATTAGTTGGTCAACGGCAGGACATAAATATTACGTACATTTCTTGACAGTGTCTTGTTTAATATGTGCAGGAAGACGCGCTTTATCTTTTCGAACAGCTTAGTTTGACCTGAGAGAACAGAGCTGGTGCTGCTTCAAGCCAGAGGAGGCAGAGTTGAGCCAAGTTTGTACAAAAAAATCCAGTTTATTGCCGTCTGTGTCAGCAACACCTCTGAAATGTATACACATCAGAGTGGCCTTGCTTTGCCTTTGTATTGTAAAACACACTTTAATCTTTTTTCTGACTTCGTTTGTTGACTTCATCCTTTTGGTTGTGGCTCACGCCAAGACCAGCAGTTTGTTTATTAAAGTTAAAATCCGCCTGCTGCCGCGAGATTTGTGTCAGGTCCTGCAGGGATCCCAGGCCCAAGGCAGCCCTCTTGAAAAATACTGAGGTTTGATTCCATTTTTAATACCTTGGGAAAAAATTGCCACCACACCGAAGGCAACTTGTAGGTTTTATTTTAAAATGAATATAGCAGAGCTACAACTTGAGAACAATGTACATCATTACCATTTAGGCAGTGCACTTTTTCAAAAGTCTCTGAGATTGTAGCTGAAGGCAATAATAATAATAATATTTCTTCAGGATTTAGTGCTTTAACTGGCATGGTTTGTTATCACTGCTACGTAGCATATTGGTTTGCCCGTGTCCTTTACCTGTCCATGATCATTTGCCTGAAACACTCAATCGATAATCAGTATGTTTGAGCACAGTACAAGTGCCAGCAGAGCATTCAGTGTAGGCAGCACATTTCAGCTTCTTCCTGGCTTGATAATCGTACAGTGGCTGGAATTAGAACATTGTGTGTGCTTCACAGCTCTACTACAAACCTCCTCTGCTTTTTGTCTTTCCTCACTAAGTGACGGTGGCAGCAGATGGTCACACAGCGCATCCAGCTGGTGCTGTCAGCATGAAGCCTGACACAAAATCTTTACCAGGTCACAACAGCGTTCAAGTCATCATTCTGAACAAGGTCTCGCTGTAGCAGTGCATAAAGACATGAAGATGTTCCTGTTAGCTGAAGTCAGAAATGCAGAAGCTGCTGCTCTTTGCTACATGTCAACAAATTTTAATGAAAATCCTAAAGATATTTATGTGACCTGGTAAGTATAGAGCGGTTATTTTTGCTATATTTTACTGTCTGCTAGCTTTAGCTGTGAGTCAGTACTGTCATCTAGCTACTACATATTGAACTCTTTGGACACCAAAAATAGGCCTATTAAAAGAAAGAGACAGACGAATATTTGGAGATTAAAATTGCTGTCTGGATACCAGCACAATGATGGAATATTCAGATATTCGGTTCTTTGGTTCCAGCCCTGTACATTATGTCTTTATTTTATCTCATTAGTATTTTTGTCTTCCAGCAAATGCACACCGACGTGGCTACAGGTCAGATCCACACCGAGCTGCAGGACGGGGTCGCTACTCTGGAGCAACTCATCACTGAGCTGCAGGAGCTGAGTGGGAAGCTGCGTAACCAGTCGCAGTGACCGTCCTCACAGAAGCATCTCCTTTCTGGGACAAAAAATAGCTTGTCCGTAATAAGGACTGACCAGAGTCAGACAGAGACTCTACATTTCCAGACATCACCCTAATAAATTCCATCAAATCAAGAGTTAAAGTAGAAAAGGAAAGCCAAAGGACTCACTTTGTAATCATGATGTTTTTATACCTTTATGTCTACATTGGAAGGTAAACAATGACTATCTGACATTAAGCAGTAAAATGTTTAAAAATCAAAATGTTTGCTTCGTAATCCTTTTCATGCTGAAGAAATGTGACTGACATCATAAAATAACCTTCATTCTTAGTAACTGCTTGAGGAACAAAGTTAGAGGTGTCAAATTTTGAAGCTGCATCAGAAGGTGTAGCCTGAGCGTCATTCTAGCAAAGCTGTGTTACTCCGTCTGTGTCGAGGCATTAAGGAACAGGGTTTAGCTGTACATCACTCAGAGCTCAATCACTGCAGTCAAGCATTTTAATGCAGGAAAATAGACTTGAAATGGAAAAATGCACCTCAGGCCCCATTTACAGGTAAATAGCAAGAGTAAAACGTACCTTTTTGTCGTGTTTGCAGTCTTTAAATTACTTCAGGATGCAGATTCTGTGACAGCAATTAGTACTTCTGCTTTCCTACGATGTCTCATTACATCAAGTCAATGCTGCATTCACACCATGTCTGCAAAACAAAAAGAACAGAAAAAAAATTCCTTACCCCTCTCAAATCAGAAGAGCAGCTTCATATCATTTAAATAATAATTACAAACAACCAAGTGGGGAAAAACTGTTCATGCCAGCGTCTGTCTTGTATTTACAAGTTAGAAATACTGGAAACTTTTCCCATTTGCTGAAAAAGAACAAAATGTCATATCTATAACTTCTGTTCGAGGTACAACACATACAGTACGAGATATCAGGCCCATCATGAACTGACTGAAGACACCTCTGTTCACGCCTTTAAGGCAGATGATCTACAGTTATGTTCAAAATAATCGTGTTTTTTAAAAGTAAAGCTCAAAATCCTTATACTTTTATTTCCATTCATTGGGAACACTGCACATTATATTTAAGATCAAAACATGAAGAAAAATGTGTCAGTATTTTAATTACTTTATAGCAAATGAAGGAAAAAATGATATTTGCTGTTTAAAAAATAGCAGTGTCTGCATGTTTCATTACAAACTCATATATTTACTCAACAAACTAGCATTGCTGTGAATCACTAAACTAATATTTAGTTGCATAGCCACTGTTTTTGAGAACTGCTTGACATTGTGCTGCATGGAGTCGACCACCTTCTGGCACCTGTGAACAGGTATTCCAGCCCAGGATGATTTGACAGCCTTCCACAGTTCCTCTGCATTTCTTGGTTTTGCCTCAGACACAGCATTTTTGATGTCACCCCGTAAGTTTTCTCTTGGATTAAGGTCCCAGGATTGGACTGGCCACTCCATAACCCTGATTTTGTTTGTCTGGAACCAAGATGCTGCTCGCTAACTGATGTGTTTGCGGTCGTTGTCTTGTTGAAACATCCATTTCAAGGGCATTTCCTCTTCAGCATAAGGCAGCACGACCTCTTTAAGTATTTTGATATAAGCAAATTGATCCATGATCCCTGGTATGCGATAAATAGGCCAGACACCACAGTAAGAGACCCAGCCCCATATCATGATGCTTCCACCACCATGCTTCACGGTCTTCAGAGTGTACTGTGGTTTAAATTCAGTGTTTGGGGTTCGTCTGACGAACTGTCTGCGGCCCTTGGACCCAAAAAGAACAATATGACTTTCATCAGTCCACAAAATGTTTCTCCATTTCTCTTTAGGCCAGTCAATATGTTCTTTGGCATATTGTATCCTCTTCAGCACGTCTTTTTTTTAACAGTGGGAGTTTGTGGGGGCTTCTTGCCAATAGCTTAGCCTCACACAAGCGTCTTCTAACTGTCACAGTACTCACAGGTAACTTCAGACCATCTTTGATCTCCCTGAGCTGATCATTGGCTGAGTTTTTGCCATTCTGGCTATTATTCGATCCATTCGAAAAACATGTTGAGGTTAATTAGTGATTCTAAATTGTCTGTAGGTGTGATTGTGAGTGTGCTTGGTTGTCTGTCTCTAAGTGTGGCCTTGTGATAGACTGGTGACCTGTCCAGGGTGTCCCCTGCCTTCGCTTTAAGTCAGCTGGGATAGACTCCAGCCCCCTGTGACCCTAGTGAGGATTAAGCGGTGTGTATATATAATGGATGAATCTGTGATGACAGACGTTAGGTCCTGCCTGCACATATAAATTCCTGTCATCAGTCATCCAAAGCCGCTCTACACTGAGCCCAGCTGCTGAGCCAACCAGGTGTTGTACCTCGTTCCTCTGCTTCAGGGAGCAGTTAGTTGTAGACATAACATTTCTCTCCCTTTAAGTTGATTGACTTAGTACAATATATTATAATAATAACAATAATAATAGATCAGATTTATATAGTGCACTCAAAGACACTGTGCACTGTCAATTATTCATTCATACACGTTCATTTGGTGGTGGTAGCTATGATTGTAGCCACAGCTGCCCTGGGCCAGACTGATAGAGGCGTGGCTGCCATTCTGCGCCTCCGACCACCACCTCAAACCATCCATTCATACACTTTCACACCAGGCAAGGAAGGTGAAGCGTCTTACCCAAGGACACAACGACCATGACACAGGTTACAAGGTGGACCTTCTGAGCTCTACCACCTGAGCCACAGCCGCCCCAAAATATAGTACGGGACATGTGCACACACCCTGCAGAGCAGTCACCAAGGCCTGCAGCACTCTTGTGCATGGTAGACCCAGCAGAAAGGACAGAATGAGCCACCAAAGGGCTGTCACATCCAAACGATAAAATCAAAACACAAATGTGGGGAGATGACCAGCTAGCTGCAGCGGTTAGCAGTGAGCATGGGGGAGTTAGACTGTCACCCTGTCAGCATCCTATAGCGCCTGTATCTGCCCCCTGACCGCCCAGATTATATAAATCTTAAATTTACAGGAGAGGGGCTGTTCATAACAACCTCATTCAAATTAATGAAACTTTATCAGACCTGAAAACAGGACAATGAAATATGGACTACTAAATATTAAATCTCTGTCATCCACAAAATCTTTTAGTTAATGATCTGATAACAGATCATGATGTTGACTGAATGTTTCTGACTGAAACCTGGCTGCAGCATGAAGAACACGTTAGTCTAAATGAATCAACTCCCCCCAGTCAGATTAATGTTCATGTACCTAGAAGTACAGACAGAGGGGGGGGGAGTGGCAGCAATCTTCCACTCAAACCTATTAATCAACCAGAGACCAAAACTTAGTTATAATTCGTTTGAAAGCCTTAGTCTTAGTCTCACACACTTGAATTGGAAAGCACAAAGACCAGTTGTGTTAGTTGTGGTATATCAGCCACCGGCGCCTATTCTCAGTTTCTATCTGAATTCTCAGAGTTCTCAGCTGATTTAGTCTCAGTGGAAATAAGGTCATTTTAGTGGGTGACTTTAATATCCACGTAGATGCTGAGAACAACAGCCTTAACTCTGCATTTAGTTCATCGTTAGACTCAGTTGGCTTCTCCCAAACTGTCCGTAAACCAACTCATAGTTTTAACCATTGATCTTGTTTTGACATATGGCATAGACATCGAACATCTTACTGTTTTTAAACAAAACTGTGTTCTGTCTGATCATTTTAATAACATTTGAATTTACAATAATGGACTATGGAACACCTACCAAAGACTTCCATTACAGCTGATGTTTATCCAATGATGCAGTAACTAAATAAAAGGAAATGGTTCCACTATTATTGACTTCAAAGACAACACAACAGAGAGCAGTTCCTCTAATCTTAGTCCCACACAGGTGGATAATCTTGTTGGTAGAACTGCAGCTTTACTGCGTTCATCAATTCGTATTGTTTCCCCATTGAAAACTTAGCCTATAAATTAGAATAAAATAGTTCCATGGTATAGTCAACAGCTGTGCATCTGGAAACAGAATTCAAGAAGACTGGAAAGACAGTGGTTCCACAAATTCAGAAGAATTTCGTCTTGCCTGGAAAGATTAATCGGACAAGAACTGCATATTATTCATCTTCATTTGAGGAAAACAAGAACAACCCCAGGTTTTCTTCAGCACTGTAGCCAGGCTGACAAAGAGTCACCGCTCTATGGAGCCTTGTGTTCCTTTAGCCCACAGTAGTGAAGAGTTCATGACTTTTTTTTTTTCATGAATAAAGTTTTGAATATTAGGCAAATAAATAAAAACAAAATAAAATCATGAACATGTCTTTAGGTGCAGCAGCTCTGGATGCATCCATAGGACCAGGTTTATATTTGGACTGCTTCTCTGTTGTAAATCTCTCAGAGCTCACATCGATTATCCATTCAGCAACATGTTTGCTGAATCTTTCCTTTAACACAGCAGTATTAAATATCATCAACTTTCTTAACAGGCTACATAGGTTGGCTTTTAAGGTTGCTACAATAAAACCACCTCCCAAAAAGCCTACTCTGGATCCAAGTGTTTTAGCAAACGATAGGCCCATATCCAACCATCCATCCATTATCTATACACCGCTTAATCCTCATTAGGGTCGCGGGGGGGCCCATATCCAACCTCCCTTTTATTTCTAAAATTCTTGAATCTTTGTTGCAAGCCAATTATGTGACCCTCTGCGCAGAAGTAGTTTGTTTGAAGAGTTTTAGTCAGGATTTAGAATGAATCGTAGAACAGAGACAGCATGGTGAAGGTCACTAGTGATCTTCTTATAGCATATGTTCCTACAGTGACGAGTGTAGTCGATGTAGGTACATGGGGCACACACGATGCAATGAATGCAACCTGCTGTGCTTGTCGGATGTAAAAGGAGGTGGCAACAGCTTGAGAGCTCAAATGCCATACGGCTATGGGCTGCACTGATGGCCTTAGGTAAAAATGCTACACTTGGGCGTGATGTAGCCATGGAGCCATGAAAGGAGAACTGGGTGCAAAAAAGCAAGACATGAACATTGCCTGCCACAAAGTGAAAAGCAGAGCAATCTCATCTAAAAAAAAAAAAAAAAGCATACCTATAGACTCAGTATACATTCAGATAAATCCCATGAAGGGAAACTGGAATTAACCACGGGCCTCAGCCGGCGAATCTGTTTCTAGGAAACACATGGCAAGAGGATGAGCGGGTGGCATCACACCATCGAACAAGACAGACAGATATAG